ATTATAACAATCTTTATAATGAAACTTTTCATTATAATTATTATAACGAAATAATAATTATAATAAAAACATAAAACGTCTATAACTTATAGAAATAAAGCCAAGTAGAACAAATATTTATATAAAATTTTGTGTCGTTTTTATATCCCGAATTCATTTCTGAAATTATGCTACATATTATGAAATATTTAATATAATATGCTCGAGTTTGAAAAATATTAATAATTTATATAATTCATGATGAAAATTTAATTACCAGAAAGTTCTATTTAAAACGCATTATCTTATTTATGCGTGAAGAAAGATATTGATTCACACTTATGACCTGTTATTGCTGTTACTTGCGAAAGTAACGATTTCGAAATTTACCGACGACGAAGCGCTATATAGGTAGCAACAGATCCATGCAAAGAGAAGATAAAAATATATTTAATAAGAGAGTAAATAAGCGATGATGCTCTTTTATGTCTGAGCATGCACAGGTATTTTCAAGAAAAAAATGCTATATACAAGTAATAATAAATAATTTTTTATAATTTTTCTTAAATTATAAAATGTATCTATATTATTTATATTATACGTCTTTTATAATGAATATAATAAATTAAAATAAACTAAGAAAGGTTTTATGAACGTAGAATATCAGAACACAATTTTTTACTTCACTACTGTTAATGTAGAAAATATAACTATAGAAAGATTTATACTTTATTATTTATTCGAGAGATTTCATAATGGCATTCTTGCTGCCATCTCATTTATTTTAAATATGCTTTTAACTTTCGTATCCATCATCCTTTTTTGTAGTTTTCACAGAATTATTATTATTGCCTTCATATATCATTATTATTTTACTAATTGCAATTGAACACTTTTAATATTACATCCATAAGAAAAATTGTTAGTCTTTTTGGACGGTATAATAAAAATGCATGCGTATTCTTTATTATTGACGTAACATGCAAATAATTTCCTCTTTAATGTTAGATTAATAAGAAATTATCCGATTTATTCCGCGCGCGGGAATAGTGAAATGGCCCCGTTGTATTTGCAATTGTTTTGCATAATGAATATGTGCAAGCCGCTGCTGATGCATCGATCGAATGAACATCTGGAATAAATAAAAATATTTCTCACTCACACCCGTAAAATATCTTGATTCACGCGAATCGCGTGATTTCTTGAAAGTTCTGATAAAACATAGATGTCAATTAAAATTAACATCAAAACCGTTCTGTCTTTTAAAATAAAAACCGTTACATGTAAAAAAAATTTAATCGTAATCGTTAAGTCGTATATAAGCAAATCGACCAATCACAGTCAAAACTGTGGTTTTATGTTTTAGAATACTCGCTTATGATTAGTCGATATGCTTACGATATTATACGATTGTGCGATTAAAGGCACACAGAAAAACTTATAAATTAAATAAGACGTAAGCAATAAGAAAATAAACACATTTTTTTAATTTGCTACTGCTCCAACAATAAAAGATATTACAATAAACAATAAATTCCTAGAATATTATATGAATATTTACTTATCCTTTTTAATATTCATACAACATTCTAGAAATATGGTATTTTATAGGATGCTTATATACTATTACGATGTCTACTCTGTGACTGCAATTCGTTTAATGCTTACGTTTTATTACTTAAATTCTTTTTGTGTGTCCATGGCTCTAAATTTTTTCACATGTGATGACCTTGAAACTACCCAGATAGCACACATGTTCAAAATCAGGACGTAATAAGATACTTTAATTGTGTATAATGTCTACTATGTCTTTTAGGTCGGTATCCATAGCTGATTCTTATTTTTTTACACTCAAAATAAATATATATTCGAACGTTAAAGACGGAGAAAGCGAAGATGTTAAGTACAAACAGTGCAAGAAATGCGAACAGTTCTTATATAATACACATCTTAAGATATTAGGCCTGCTCTTTTTGGCTGAAAACTTATGCACCAGTTCATCTTTTTTTCCTTTCTGTTCTGCTGGAAAGAAAACAAAGAAAAATGGACAAAAGTTCAGTCAAAAAGAATAGACCTATTGTAACATCTCAAGATATAATTACTTCATAGACGGTTTTAAAATAAGAATGGATTATATATAAATAATTAAATTTGTCAAATATATGTACTTGGGCAAACAGTTTGCGTAAGCACATTTGACAAATTTAATTGAACGTGTGTGGCTGATGTTAGACATCAAATTTTCTTCAAAGATTGATAAATAAAAAAACTGATGTAATAGTCATTTATTTACATAGAGATATAAATTGCTTAATTCAATAATAATATAAGAAACTGTACATATATATGTTGAGAACATCACACTGTGCGTGATGACAAAATTCTTCACGCTTATTATACGTGTCTAGGATCGATGAAAACACACTATGATATGATTCGACTTTCCAGCACAATCCTTCAATTCCATTAATTAGCGTTACGAACTGTCTCGTAAGTTGTTATAAAACGACGCTGCTTAAATATTTGTCGAAATTTGTACCCAAACGTGAGTGAGCATCAATTTTTGTACGGACAATCTAACAAATAATATTATATATGAACCGTATACATCTTAATTAAGATATAATGCATAATGATTAATCATTGTACATTATATGTATCTCATAACATGTCCGTTTATCACAGAATTTATTGTGTATCGCGTCGTGAATAATTCTCCACGATACATTTTATACATAAATCTTATAATTACGTAATATGTACGGTTATTTTTTCGAATATAAAGTCACCGTGGTGTCTCAGCTAGTCGATCGAGATGTTTGTTTGTTTTTGAACATTCAAAGCTTTCTTACAAGATTTGCTGCGCGTAATTACACATATAACTGTAGAAGGACATCAAGAAGAATCGACCGAATATCCATTATACTGGTAGACCGAAAATTTATCGGGCGCAAAATAAACGACGGATAAGAATTATCGCTCGATTCCTGAACTCTCGAAAGATCTCTCCGAAGACGAAAATCGTCGCGCGTAGCGTCTTCTCGAAAAAGGGGAAAAAATTGTAAAAATTGAACAAAAGAAAAAGAGGGGGATAAAGAGAATGACATTATACACGAGCGATTGTGTGCTGAGAGAGAGAGGATTTAGTATTATTTCGAGTACATCGAGGGCGAATCGGCAGCGGCATTTCAGAATTTCGGCAAGCGAGGTAGTATCACGCGCGATGTGGTCCGGGGTGCGCACCGTGTATCTCACCCTCACCCTCGGTCCCTCCTGCCCTCCCACCACGCAACGAAAACTTAAAAATGCCGCCGCAGCGCAACCCGAATCGATATTCGCCGGTGCAGTCACGTGGCACGGTTTCGTGCCGCGCGGGCCAATGAGCGGCCGCGACTAGCGGAGCTCGCTCCGCCTGTGCTCCACGGTACGACGACACGACATCTGCGTTTGGGTAGGCGGAACAACAGTCCGCGGCTGGTAGCGCACCGGTTCACAGTAGGTGATGTTCCGCTCTGCGGGCGGTCCACGTTAAGTGACCCCGACACGGTATACGTCGAACGTCGTCGGCGACGGGCGTTTAACCAGCAGCAGCAACAGCAGCCGCGACGACAACAAAGGACAACGACGTCAACGGGAAATAAGCGAGACCGAGAACGGCATCACGACGTCGACACGTGAACAAGGCATCCAGCGCGCTGTCGCTCAACTCAACGCTGTCGCCGTCCCTTTCGGCACGCGTACATACATTACGCACGCATCGTAATACGTGTGTGTACCGTCTCTGTGTGTGGTGCCCTATCGTCCACCGGAAGAAGCGCGCGGGGCCGCGACTCGTAAGCGACCCCGCGTATTTACTCGTGTATACATACATATTCGCCGTACGTGGTAGAGTTGGTCGTCGTCTCGCGTGCAAAAAAAGAGTTAGCCAGCCGTCGTGGCTACGGAACAGAGTGAGAGAGTAGAGGAAGTGACTGCGGTGTACGCGACGGAGATCGAGAGCGCCGAGTAGGAGGACGAAGCGGGGACGAGGCGGGGCAGCGGGTTGGTGTAAGAAGGAGAGGAGGAGCGGTGAGGGAGCAAGACGGATACAGAACGGGAGATAAAGAGAGTGAGAGAGGGACTCGCGCCGCGCGCGCGACGAGGACGGAGCGAGAGTGAGAGAGAGTGAGTGAGTGAGTGAGTGAGGAGGGTGTAAGGAGGGAACACGAGCAAGGAGTCCAGACGGTATACGCGATATGGTGTTTCTATACGCGAAGGAATGGTGCTTTCGTGAAAAGTAACTCTCTCGGACGTGTGCGACGCGGTACGCGCGGCTTGCCGTATGAATATAGGCGCGAATAAGTCGCGCGCGTCGATATATATCGGTGCTGATCGTCGGAACGAGGAGCTTCCACGGTCGATCGCGAGATAAATCCCGCTGTGTCCGTCCCCCTTCCGAACACGACGATCACAGAGACGATCACGTCGTGGATCGTCGCGCGCTGCTGATCCGTGCGATCCGTGCCGTCGCGTCGGCGTCGACGCGGCCGCTGCGTAAGCGCGCCGATCGATAATCGCGATCGATATATCGGGATTCCCGCGCGCGCGTTTGTTTGTGGAGTGGTACATATATCATATCGGATACGTGTCGCGGTACGTGCGCGCGCGCGCTCGCCCGCGCGGAAAAACTCTTATTATGCGACTACCGAAGTCGCGCCATAACCGGGAACGGCGGGGATCGGATTAACCGAGAAGATAGAACGCAAGACGCGGAGAAGAAGCGGCTGCGGCGGAGGCGGCGGCGGCGGCGGCGGCGGCGGCGGCGGAAGAAGGAGAGGAGGAGGAGGAGGAGCTGGAGGAGAAAGAAGAAGAAAGATTTCAAGATAGAGGGAGATAATCACCACGACGGACGAGGACACGACGACGAGCGCTCGTCGTCGGTTGCCGCGGCGGAGTCGTTGCGCGTAAGGCTTCGCCGCGCGGCAGCTGCGGCGGAAGCGTCGGCGGCGGCATTGGCAGCGTCGGTGGCGGCGGCGACGGCGACGGGGTCGGGCTCGCAGGACGACGAACACGACGACGAGGACGAGGAGGACGATAGCGACGACGCGATGATGGAGGAGAGCCAGCTGTTGATGACTGAACTTCCGTCGCCGTTGACGCCAAGCGCCGGTCGCGGCGGGACGACGTTGCTCCATCGTCCGGGCCACTACTACCACCTGCACCAGCCGCACCTGGCGATCCCGACGTCGCAGAACCAGGCGATCCTTCAGCACAACTCCGGCAGCACGGCGCCGCATTACGGCACCGACGGCAATGGCGCCTGCGGTGGCGGCGGCGGCACCGCGGGAGGCGGCGCGACCGCTGCCGCCGCCGCCGCCGCCGCCGCTGCCGCTGCCGGTCTACCGTCTGCCTACACCGTCAGCCAGGGTGGCATCTCCTCCCGGCATCACCAGCTGCACCCGCATCAGGTGCATCAACGCGGCACCGCGGTAACGCACGGCCAGCCCGCCGCGAGCACCCACGTGTCCTCCCTCTATCCGGAGATTCTCGCGCTCATCTTCAGCTACCTGGACGTCCGCGACAAAGGACGCGCCGCTCAAGTGTGCACCACGTGGCGGGACGCCGCCTATTATCGCTCGGTCTGGCGAGGAGTGGAGGCGCGGCTGCACCTCAGGAAACAGGCGCCGGCGTTGTTCGCCAGTCTGGTAAGACGTGGCGTGAAGAAGGTACAGGTGTTGTCCTTGCGACGCGGCCTCAGCGACGTTCTGAAGGGCGTGCCGAATCTCGAGGCGCTCAACTTGTCCGGCTGCTACAACATCACCGACTCCGGTATCACGAACGCTTTTTGTCAGGAGTACCCGTCCCTCATCGAGCTCAACCTATCGCTCTGCAAGCAAGTGACCGACACCTCGCTCAGCAGGATAGCGCAGTTCCTGAAGAATCTCGAGCATCTCGAACTGGGCGGCTGCTGTAACATCACCAACACCGGCTTGCTGCTGATCGCATGGGGCCTGAAGAAACTCAAGCGACTGGACCTGCGAAGTTGCTGGCACGTGTCCGACTTGGGTATCGCTCATTTAGCCGGACTGAACCGCGAGACCGCTGACGGTAATCTCGCCCTGGAGCACCTGAGCCTGCAGGACTGCCAACGATTGAGCGACGAGGCGCTCAGGCACGTGTCGCTCGGCCTTACCACCCTCAAGTCCATCAACCTGTCGTTCTGCGTGTGCATCACCGACTCCGGCGTCAAACACCTGGCCAGGATGTCGAGTCTACGCGAGTTGAACCTACGCTCGTGCGACAACATCTCCGACATCGGCATGGCGTACTTGGCCGAGGGTGGCAGTCGGATCACGTCGCTCGACGTGTCGTTCTGCGACAAGATCGGCGATCAGGCGCTCGTCCACATCTCTCAAGGCCTGTTCAACCTCAAGTCCCTGTCCCTGTCCGCCTGCCAGATCAGCGACGAGGGTATCTGCAAGATCGCCAAGACCCTGCACGACCTCGAGACCCTCAACATCGGCCAGTGCAGTCGGCTCACCGACCGCGGTCTGCACACCGTCGCCGAGAGCATGAAGAACCTCAAGTGCATCGACCTGTACGGCTGCACGAAAATCACCACCAGCGGCCTCGAGCGGATCATGAAGCTGCCACAGCTCAGTACGTTAAATCTTGGTCTGTGGCACGTGCGGTGATGGCTTTTTCCGTGGCTAAGTGCTCTGGACGAACGCTGCCAACGTTATCGTCATCGTCATCGGCATCGTCATCGTTACCAAGGCGACGACGACGACGACGACGACTCCTCGCAGCGACCCAAGGATAACTTCGTCTTCGCGCGCATGTTCCTGCCGCAGGCGGTAAGTCCGTTGCTGTCGCTCGGCGCACGAAGTCGCCCGAGCGCCCTCGACATCGGCATCCACGACGTCGTCGGCGAATAGCGTTTAGCTCGTTTCTCCCCGCCCGAGACGGAAATTCCCCCTTTCTCGAGGGGGAAGCAACCGCTGGGTTCTCGAGGGGCACCGTTTTTTCAAGCAAATGGCATTACGTCCCTTCGAAGAGCGTTTTCTTTTCCAAAAAAAAAAAAAAAAAAAAAAAAAAAAAGCGACCGTTTCGAGCACACATACCGCATTTCCGATCGGTACTTGATCGTCGCGCGTCGAAGGCGATCGCTAGATTAATTAAACGTAGGGTTCGACGAGTCTCAAATGCCTCGATTCAATTCTCGGCTCGCTCGACTCTCGAAAATTTAGGGGAAAAAAAAAAAAGGAAACGAATGTCGCGTCTGGGATTTTCTCGCTCATCGATTCCGCAAAGCTACGATTATCAACGACACGCAGTTGGCAATGGGCATAACATTTTTAGATTAGAGATTCGAATCAATTATTGTTTCGATGAGTTTAATTTGTCACGTTGAAAGTATGAAAATAACTCTCTAAATTCTTTGAATTGGAATCTTATTCTGAAGTGTGAAAATTAGGCAAATCTTGAAAAAGAAAGGCTCAATTTTCAATCTTTAAAAGTAAGATTTCATTCTTTATGATGACAATTTACTCTCTGAAAGTTTTAGCGAGAATCTATTCTGATTATACTGATTGTGTCACGTTTACATAACACATAGGGATTACCTTTGCCAAGACAAATTCGAACACAGCGATGCAATAATGGTTTTAATCTCTAAATTAGTTTTCTTATCGCAATTTTTTTCTTGGAACGCGAGTTTCAACAGAAACGTTAGTAACAAAAATATTACGTAATAATTAAACGTCTGTGCATCCTGAATAAAAATAATGCTATTTACTTTGAGAGAGAGTACATAATATACTTTTTTTTTTTTAATAAGTCGATTTAATTTGAACGCAACAAATATTACGTTTCCCATTCTTCGTTTGGATGTTTCAGATATAAAAACGTAATTATCTTGATAATAATTAACTTTATAATCATTAACGACAGATAACGGCACATAATTTTCAATTACGTGCTGTTATCTGTAGTTAATGATGATTATGACACTTGCAATATGGAGTAGCGACGCATTTTTACCAAGTTCTCTATTTTTTTTTTTTTTTTTTTCAGAGTTGTTAAAATGTTAGAGATAGTAATGTGTCTCGGACTCATGTCTTAAATGGTTAAGATTTATCTCAAAGGATTGTTCCACAGGCCCATTACTATCTCTACGTCATTTATTTAATTTGTCTGTGGAATATCATCTACAAAATATATTGCCTTATCTCTAAATACGACTTATACTGATAGGGTCATTGACATCGTTAGTTGATAACTGTTGGATGAACGTTAATACTATTCGAAATAATTTAATTTTTAATAGAATCTGATAGAATTGAGGGACTCAGTATCTCTCATTCCATTAATTTGCTATGCACTGATATCCTTCCTTCAATAAGGAAATGCCATC